AATTTATTCTAACATGACATGTTCAGCAGTTTCTAATTTTAAAAAATATAATAATTTGAGTTCTGTTTACTTTGAGGGCATGAGAATAAAAAGCCATATCGTTCTCCCTCCTTCATTACATTAGTCTGAGGCTTTTCATTAAGAAAAAAATGTTTTCTTCTAATTTCAGAGTGATAAAATACAGTCACCCAGGAGTCTGCAAGGAGATTTTCTATCTCAACCACATTCTTCTTGTGAAAACATGACTTGCGTATTTCATTCTAAATTAATTACATTTGATCAGGTACATGAATGTTGACAGGTAACGATGTCTAACTTACTTCCCCCACCAAAAATTAGGCCCATCCAGATTCTTTTGGGCAATTCTATTAAACACAGCTTCTAAGTCTATGTAACAGTCGTCATCTGTCTTCAGCAACAAGTTGAAGCTGGTTGTTTCCACAGTCCTGTTGGCAAAAAAAAGAATATGAAAGTCAGTGCAACCATCCAAGGAAACAAAGCAGCACCAACGTGGTGGCACCACCAACACTTTACTCACAACTGTACCTGCACTACCTGCACACTCTTTCAGCGTCTTAGTCCTCAAATGCTGAGAACATCTGACAGCACACTGCTGCCATCGACTACAGCCCTCGCTGATGTTTACTTAGTGGCATATCACACGCAAGTACAAGCTGATTTTAAAAGGTAAAGTGAAGAAAAAGCACAATGAAAACAAATCTGGCTTACGTGGAACCTGTGTTCCAATAAATGCTTCTGAGGCATCTTCCGAGTCAGGCTGCCAAACCTACTGAACATCTGAACCTTGCCCCCTGTGCCCCTAATAACAAAGGCCCTGAATAATGGGACACTGTCACACAGAACACTGTTGTACAAGATGCATTCTATCCGACTATTTATATAACACTCAAGATACTTTATGTTTAAAAAAACACTGAGTTATAACATCAAAACATATTTTCCCTTGGAAACAATTTCCAGCTATTAAACTGTCATAAGTGACAATTTGGAAGGCACAGGAGGGTGACTTCATTTATCTAGATGTCAAAAAATCTAATGGCAACTAAAGACAAACTTGACCCCTTCATTTCACACTACAAGCTCTGCACATCTCTGTTTAAAAATGCAGAGTCTTGCTAGGGAACCAGTCATGACACAGAAATCTCAGTGAAAGAAGAAAGCTTTACTAGGTCAAAGAACGGTGAATTTAACAACAATGGGTCCACACCAAACAGTGTAACCCTGTGTTTCTAAAGTTTATTTCTAATTTACAGCATGAGAAAAGCATAGTATTTATTT